TCTGAGAGTCAACTCTAATTATTGAAAAGCAGGAGACCCTGTTTGCATTACAGTGACTCTTTACATGGCCAAGAGGATACCCTAAGGATGTCTCCAGTCTCTTTTCTCGGACACTATAAACCTGTGCCCCTGGAGGGACATATTTCTAGAGTCAAACTTGGGTAGAATTCTCTGCACTCTATTTCAGTGACTCAGAATCATGGCATTAAAATTGACTTCATTGTTAAGCCTGTCTACCTTAGAAAATCTATTTTTAACCCCTAATCTCCACTTGGCTTGTTAATTTCATCCTTCTTTCTTTACCATCTATTCACTCAGAGTCAGTAACTACAACACAACCGTACTGAGCACCTTCGACACCCAGGCCCTGAGCTGAATGCCGGGGAAGGAGTGGGAAGCAGGACGTGGCCCCTGCTGCACTGTAGGCTGCAGGGTGGAAGCTTGCATCCAAGGGCCCTTTGAGTGTACCCTAGAGATGCGACTAATTCATGCTTGGATTTTAGAGTGGCCTCATACAAGCTCACGGGGGTTGAGAGATGAGGATTCATGAACAGGTTTAGACACTTGAGTGATTGACAATATGAAATTACAGATTTGTACAGACTTCACGATGTGCTTGTTTAACGGTTGAGGCCTTCTCTTTCTTCTCCTGCCTGTCCCCACCACTTACAGGACTTCAAGATAATGAATCCAGCACATTAAAAAGCAGCTTAGTAACCGTGACTGATTGGAGCGACACTTCAGATGTCTAATTCCGCATGTCAGAAGATTCTTCGAGAAGCCAGCAGTGTTTCAGTAAGACAATGTTTCAGTAACTTGCTTCCATGACTCCAGTGCTTCCGCCCTGCTGTGTCCCCCACAGCAACACAGGGTCTGATGCAAAGAACAGCGGTCTCTTTAATGTCACCTGATACAGTATTGAAAATCAGATCCTCAACAGTGTTTTGAAGCATATACAGGTGTTTAAGACTTCTGCTGCTTAAAAATAACATGTCATTGAAGTCATAAAAAGTTTTTTCTTCAGAACGGTACTCTAGTGTTAAGTGTATTTTTTTCCCAACTATTTTTTAAGTGATGTTTTTTAACCTTACAGCAGGTTTTGGTTTGAATTACTAAAACTTTAAAAAATATTTTTCTTATGTATGCTGTCACATTGCAGGTGTTTATATTAAAAATTCTGTTAGTAGTCTTAAAACTGAATTAGTGGAACCAGTAATCACTAAAACTTCATCTGGCTAATTTTCATATAGAAGTAAGCTTAATCCGGGTGTGATGGCATTCACCTTTAATCCCAGTGACTGGGAAGGCTGAGGTGAGAGGATTGCTTGAGCCCAGGAGTTCAAGACCAGTGTGGGCAATATAGCAAAACTCCACCCTCCCACCCCCCAAAAAAGTTGGTTTAGAATTAGAATATAGGTAGGCCAGTATTAAATACATTTTCCTGAAGTACATTTATCACATTCAGCTATGAGCTACTGTAAGCATGTTACTATTAAATGGTTGGTTATTTTATATAGCATATTCTTTATCTTGGATATTTTCTGAATAAAGTGTAGTTATTTTAAGTGGCAATTTATCAGACTAAATAGAAAATATTTGAGTCATTAGTGAACTCATATATATTTTTTTTACTTTTTAAAATACCCAACATGTATTATAAAATACCTCAAAAGTAATTTAGTTATATTCTTAAACAATGACATTGCCAAAAGTCAGAAAGTTCATATAAACTGTTTTTTGAATTTCTATAACTTGGTGGTACTATATTTTCTTTCCAAGAAAAAGTAACCTTTTAACAAAAAGATCTGTTGGGTTTTAAATCTCTTTTCGTTTGTCAACCTTTTCAGTAAAGCCCTCCATTACATCATTATGATTATGGCTGTGTTATTAGAGATGAATCCTGAGTATAATTAAATTTATACTTATTAGGGGTCTTACAGAGGGAGAATCTGGCCTTGATAGCTATGCCATATGACATCCTGTCCTAATGGTTAGAACAAATCTTTTTCTGTTTCCACCCACCCTGGGGACCTATCTACTTGTGGCCCATTCCTGCCCTCTAAAAAAATCCTTCTGACTTCCTACAGAGGCCATTTCATGCAGATATACTCAATTTATATGTATGTTTCTAGAAGCTTTAGTGAAAGCTGAATCAAAGTTTCATGTAGTAGGACAGAGAACGGCAATCTACAAAAATACACCATACCCAAGATGGCCCATGTGTCACTTTGTTCATTCAGTTATTTATTCAACAGATATTTATTGAACCACTTGGTCTGGTTTGGTTTTGAACATTCACTAATTCATTTAATTACAACTTTGCAATCTAGTTATTGTTATAATCCTCATCCTAAAGACATGAGAAACAGAGTTATTAAATAACTTCCCAGAAGCCATACAAGTACAAAGTGACAAGGGCAGGCATTAAGCCAGGTCTCGATTCCATGTTTTATGTCTGCCATGTCTTCATTCCTGAGCGGAAGGGCTTGGGGAAATCAACTTTTGCTGAGTAAACCCAGTATTTAAGTCACTACATTTGTGTCTTAAAAGCCCCTCCATGCCGGGCGCGCTGGCTCAAGCCTATAATCCCAGCACTTTGGGAGGCCGAGGCGGGTGGATCACGAGGTCAAGAGATCAAGGGATCAAGACCATCCTGGTCAACATGGTGAAACCCTGTCTCTACTAAAAATACAAAAAAATTAGCTGGGCATGGTGGTGCATGCCTGTAATCCCAGCTACTCAGGAGGCTGAGGCAGGAGAATTGCCTGAACCCAGAAGGCGGAGGTTGCGGTGAGCCGAGATCGCGCCATTGCACTCCAGCCTGGGTAGCAAGAGTGAAACTCCATCTCAAAAAAAAAAAAAGCCCCTCCTTTAACTTACTGGTTAGTTGTATCTTTTTTTTTTTTGAGACGAGTCTCACTCTGTTGCCCAGGCTGGAGTGTGGTGGTGCAATCTTGGCTCACTGCAACCTCTGCCTCCCAGGTTCAAGCGATTCTCCTGCCTCAGCCTCCCAAGTAGCTGGGATTACAGGCACGCACCACCACGCCTGGCTAATTTTTTGTATTTTTAGTAGAGATGGGGTTTCACTATGTTGGCCAGGCTGGCCACAAACCTCCTATCTCAAGTGATCCACCTGCCTTGGCCTCCAAAAGTGCTGGGATTACAGGTTTGAGCCACCGTGCCCGGCTGTATCTCGAGATTTGTATAAAATTTGGTTTGTTCACTTTTGGGGAGAACTATTCCTTTATGTTGCCCCTTACTGATGCCCAGCTAATGTGTTTCTGGTTCTTATCAGACCTTCATCCCCCATCATCCCTAAATTCTTCAGTATAATCTAAGCATTATATTCACCAGCTCAATTTTGAGTAACAAATTTGTTTGAAATGCACACCCACACAACCCTGTCCCACGCTGGCCTGTAGGACCTTTATGTCTTTCAGTTAATTTGCATTTCTGCAAAAGATATTTTAAAGGATTATCAAGGTTTAGAATTAAAAAAATTTTTAACACACTTGTTCATTTCCTCTTCTTTCCACTGAGCATCTCTAAACAATGTGATTTTCCTTTTAAGTCTTTCACACTTCAGAAAAGTACATTTACTCATGTTGTGATTCGTATCAGACAGCTTCTTACTCAAAGAAACACAGATATCAATCCTTATTCATACTTCGAAACTGTATTTTACCCTAGTCTGCCTCGGTTCAAAGGCCTAGTTTTGACATTACTGTGGCAAGTTACTTAAGGGCTCTGCATTCATTTCCTTCTCTGTAAATGCGGGATGAAGACGCATGTATCTCCTAGGATGCCTGTGAAGAGTGAGTGAGACAGGACATGAAAGGCGTGTATTAACGGTGATAACTGTTGTCCTTGTGGGCATGTTATATAGGGCTGGCTCTAGGAAGAAACCTGTGTCTTTGCTCAGAAATCCCTGGAGCAACTTAAATGTCCTTAGAAGTGACAAGGCTCTCAATTATACCCAGTTAGTTCCATAAACAGGTTCTGGAAGACACACTAGACCTCAGCCCATCAGTTCTGAGTGAGGCACATACCTTGTGGGCTTGAGGTGTCCTTAACCCATTTATGCCTGAGGTTGCAATATTTAAAAAAAAAATTTTTTTTTGAGGTTGCAATGTTTTAAAAAAAAATTTTTTTTTTGAGACAAAGTCTTGCTCTGTTGCCAGGCTGGAGTGCAGTGGCACAATCTCAGCTCACTGCAACCTCCACCTCCCAGGTTCAAGCGATTTTCTTGCCTTAGCCTCCCGAGTAGCTGGGATTACAGGTGCATGCCACCATGCTCCGCTAATTTTTATATTTTTAGTAGAGACGGGGTTTCACCATGTTGGCCAGGATGGTCTCGATCTCTTGACCTCATGATCCACCTGCCTCAGCGTCCCAAAGTGCTGGGATTACAAGCAAGCCAAAGCACCTGGCCAATTTTTTGAATTTTTCCAATCATACCTTGGCAATGACCTTTAGCAGTAGGATATAATTAACTCCCACATGCTTAGTGTTCCAATAATGGAACACTAGATATAAATGGGTTTTAATTGGCTCCACAATTAACCACGACCAATATCTCTATCTCAGCTTCTGTTGATGCCCTAGCTCAGGGCTCTGCATTCTGTGCCATGGATGCCTCAGCCCCTTAAGGTGGATGTGCCACATGACGGGCAATAATATCTTGGTTCCACTAGCCCTTCTTAGAGCAGTCATAATGAATTACAATCATGACAGACACATGTAAGAAACTAGAATTTGCCTGTATGCAGCCAGTAACATGTCCATTTAACCTGGACACCTTTTGAGGAATATTCTCAGATTGTCCCGTTTCCAAGACATTGTTCCTTATATACCTGTTTATGAATGAAAAGAAACATAAGGAGTGGGTACAAAGACTTTTATCTATGAATGATTAAAAAGGCTAGAGTACCAATACTTCTTGAACCTTTGGTACTAAATGCGTTTCATGTTCTATATAAACGTAGAAAACATTTTACAAATCCTGTAAATAACCTGTTTATTTTTTATAGAAAGCCACAACAGAAAATGATTAGTATATAACCGTGTAAGAACATTTACATCCATACAATCAACAAATGCTTCAAATGCATGTTTTAAAAATAGTTTGAGTGTTAATTATGGGAGGGCTTTGATGGGATCATTTTGTGAACAGTTCGCTTTTATAACAAACTCAAGATGCAGCTTGCCAGCGAGCTCTTTTAGACATACGCATTTTTATCAAACTGTTTTGAAGGGTTTGTGGTTTTAAAATCTTCTCCACCATGATACTTTGTCCGAGAAGACATGACAGATGTGGCCCCATTGTATGCGTATCTGAAAGGTAAAACATAGTTTGGTAGATTCTATTCTACACATAGGGCAAACAAAAATGCTGGAAGGAACTGTTTCACCCCGTCTCTGGCAATATCTAAATATAAGTCTTCCTCTTCCATATATAAATGTAAGTCTTCCTCTTTCTCAGATAGCTTTCTTCTCTCTTCTTGCCCCAAGAAGTATTTTCAGTATCTTTTCTGAATAACTGGTAGGATGGAGAATCTCTGCAGAAGAAACTCATGACTTGGCCATTTGTTCAGTTACTCTCAAAACCATGTTTTAAAACTCATCTTCCTGGAACCTAGGAGACTTAGTAGAGGCCATCAACATTCCTGCCTACCTAGAGGAAAACTATGTTGATGAGGCCGAAGGAAAGAACATGTTCTCATATTCAGACCCTTATTTCTACTGACAGAATTTGCTTTGGAATATAATAATGGTAAAGCTTTTTAAAAATGAACCGTACTGCCAATGTTCCAATCCTGGGTTTTGGAAGTTTCTAAGAATCACATGAACTATTTGTCCCACATGTAATGATTTAGAATAGCATTCTACTTTTTAACAGGTCATTTTTGTCTCTTTTTCATACCTGGGTGTTTTGTTGTTGTCAGATATTGAAAAGCAAAATATGATACCACCAATTATGCACAGTGAGGCTCCTGCCCATCCAATAAACAGAGCGGCTCCTAATTCATACCTGTGAGAAAGCATTACACAAGTATTACAGCTCACTTATTTGGGGAGTAAACAGTATTTAACACTGCTAGTCAACATTTACTAAATGCTCATTATGTTTTTTTGCTATTGGAAATTGTAAAGGAAATAATAACACCTTGTGTCTGTAAAATGCTGTAAACTCTCCCCAAAGTGTTTTTATAACCATGAAACCACCCCAACATCCTGAAAGGAAATGAGGGCATCCATGGGGGTAAGGTCAAAGGGAAAGTGGTCACAGCCAGGGTCTCCTGACTCAGCCAGCACCTTTCCTCTGCACTCTGCTTTAACCTTGCCAAGGTTTCTTTATTCTGCTTGCAGGACAAATCATTTAGGCAGACCAAGTTAGAAAATGAAAGGTAGCTTTTGCTTTCATGTTAGTTCAATTTAGTAAAAGTTTGTTGAGCACCTGATATGTGCAAATTGTCACTAATCACTGCAGTCTAGTGGGGAGATGAATCAATAGCTATCATTTAGTGATAAATTGCTATTAAGCATCTGCCAGATGGCAAGTCACAGTGCTCTGCTAATGACTGCAGCAGGAGCAGATGCAAAGATAAATGAGAGAGTCCTTCCCCTGGGAAGGCCATAAAACAAAGGCATGAACACTGCTACTGAGAACAAAAAAAAAGATCACCTGCAGTAGTGGACTAGGAAATCCCTTTAGGGAAGGTGTGTCACCCAGAGAATAAGAAATGAGAAAAGTACACCAAGGCCAGGCGCGGTCGCTCACGCCTGTAATCCCAGCACTTTGGGAGGCCGAGTGGGAGGATCACCTGAGGTCAGGAGTTAAAGACCAGCCTGGCCAACATGGTGAAACCACATCTCTACAAAAATACAAAAATTAGCTGGGCCTGATGGCAGGTGCCTGTAGTCCCAGCTGCTTGGGAGGCTGAGGTGGGAGAATTGATTGAACCCAGGGGGTGGAGGTTGCAGTGAGCCAAGATCACACCATTGCACTCCAGTCTGGGCGACAGAGCAAGACTCTATCTCGAAAAAAGAAAAGAAAAGAACACTCAAATGTCAGGGACCGTGTGTGTTCTCATGTTTGTTTATCTGAAGAATAGGTTGGTTTCGGGTTTTTGTTTTTATAAAGAGTCTCTCATTTGGGTCCCATAAACTTCCATTGCAAGGCAAAATAAATCTAGGTGCTTTATAAAGCCAGAGTCAGAGGGTCTGTTTTGATCACACAGAATCCATAGAGGAGATGAGGCAAGGAGAGTAAGAGGTCAGGGGAAGGCAAGACAGGGCGCAAGGTTGGGTTCCTTCCGCGGGGTGCAGGGGAGCCAAGTTCAAGGGCCAAGGCCAGGCTTTGGTATCAGTTTGAGGCCACCAAGTGCTACCTGGGGTCTTCCTGAGCCTTGCTGCACACCCTTCTACTTGCGGCATCACTATATGTGAACTCTGGCTCTGCACATGGGCAGGCTTTCTGGTGTGGTCTGAGTCGCAGGCAGAGTGATGTAACAGAGTGGGCCCGTCACTAGTCAGGGAAGCAGGAAGCAGAGTGTGCGTTTAATCAACCATGCATGGTACCTGGCACTGGCATCCTATTTTAGTGATCCTCAAGATTTTAAGACACATACATCTAACAGGAACATGCGATTCAGTTGTGCATTTTTAATTGGGATTGAGTTATGTGCGTGCACAGTAAATGCTGCTCTGTGACCCTTTCTTTACTCACTCTTGTGTTGCCTTTCCTGGGACATCAGGGTGATTGATGGAGCAAAGAACAGCTGTGACAGAACAACTAGCGGGAAGCCCCTCCTCCTGCTCTGGAGCACTAACTGCTTTGGCATCCCAGAAACTTCAGCAGGTTCCCTTAAGGGGCAATGGCAGAGACAGAGGGTTGGTGTAGTGGGGGGAAACCTTGTCTTCATGCGCGCGCACACACACACGCGCGCGCACACACACACACACACACACACACACACACACACACACACACACGGACTGAGTAGGGAAGTGCACAGGTGAAAAAGAAGAGTTGGCCAGATCAGGAGTGTTGACCTGGGAGTTTCAGAAAAGATACTTTCATTAAATACTGTGTTACACACATCTAGAAAGATGCCCTGGATTTCTGCAGTCAGTCCTGCTTTTATGTTGTTTTAATGAGATTATGCACAGACAACAAACAGCGTGCCTGCCAAACTGGAGGTGCACGTCATTTGGCCTCTGAAACACCTGGAAATCCTAGAAGATGGCATCAGATCTGTGTGTTGGCAGTCTTTCTACTGCTGACAACTAAATGAATGCGCACTACTGAAAAATTCTGCATGAAGTACACTATTATGGGATGATTATAATTGTATGACACTTTCTTTTCTCTATCTATCTTCTCTCCTGAAACTATAGCTTAATATTACTCTTGGTGTAAATATGCCATGGAAACATGGTCTGACATTTTTCTGAAAATATTGAGCTTCACTAAAATAGAATGCCAGTGCCAGATACCATCATTAATTATAAATAAATCTCTAATTATTAATAGTAGCGGCCAGTTGGCATGAAGATGATAGAAATCATAAGCATAGCTTGGCACGATGAGTTCACTGAAAGAAACATTACAAACATAGACACAGTGTTGCTACAAATCACAGGATAAATTACCCAGGCAGATGACGAATTGGGTCTACGTTAATTTAAATCATATTGAAACTTTCTGGAGGAATTCAAGAATCATGAGTTTGGCTTATATTAATAACTTTCTAATACCTTTTTAAAATATATCCTTTTTATGTATTTTTTTTGTGAGATGGAGTCTCACTGTGCCACCCAGACTGGAGTTCAATGGTGCAATCTTAGCTCACTGCAACCTCCGCCTCTGGGTTCAGACGATTCCCCTGCCTCAGCCTCCTGAGTAGCTGGGATTACAGGTGTGCACTACCATGCACAGCTAATTTTTGTATTTTTAGTAAAGACGGGGCTTCACCATGTTGGTCAGGCTGGTCTCGAACTCCTCACCTCAGCTGATCCACGCACCTCGGTCTCCCAAAATGTGTAGATTACAGGCGTGAGCCTTTTTAAAAAAATATCTTAAGTCACTACATATTGACTCTATTCTAAGGAAAAATCATTTCCATTTGAATTTCAGGGTGAATTATGTCAGAGAACAACATTTAATGGTATCAATTTAGAGATGATTTCAGAAACCACATGTCTACCCAAGTATTTTTTTTTTTAACAATTTGGATGTGAAGGCTTTTGTGACATACTCTATCTCTTTTAGAGTCTTTTCCTTCCATCTGTTGAAAGACACATCTCACAAACTTAACAGTGACTTCAATTCACAGCTCTCAGTGTATATCTGGCAAAAACTGATGTGTGTTATTGAAAGCCAGGATTGAGAAAGAGATTAACGTAATTTCCACTCCAGTTTGTTCCCAAGGCACATAGTCTTTCACATTGATTAGGAGACTTACTTAGTCTCTGTCTGGAAATCCTTCTTCCTTTTTGGTAACACTAAGAAGCTGGTTTCAACACCTTGGTAAGATTATCCAAATTTCAGATTCTCTGTTGCAGGTCTTTCATGAGCAATATCCTCCTGGCCCTCAGCCAGCCTCCCTACTCAGAGTGTGCCCTCTTTATGACCAACACCAAAGTTTCTTCATTATTCTGAAAGGTTGAAAATCTACATGACATTGGACCGATCCATATCCATGACTTGCAAGTTGAGGATGTTTAACTTCCACTTACGAAGGAAAATGTTGTTTTTAGAGGATCTTGGTTGATGGACTAATCAAAAACTGTATGTATTATACTTTAATAAAGTCACTGAGTGACTTTAGAACCGAGGAATGGGGAACAAATTTACTTCTAACAGAAATTAAAACACAGATAACCACACATAATTTTCCCAAAAAGGAAACCATAAGGATCTAAGGTGAAGATTCTCCACCCAGCTGTATGTGGTACCGTAAGCTGTTGCCCATGGCTCTCATTTCCTGTTGAGCGGCTACACCGCAGCTGCAGACCTTCATTTTGATGTGTTTCATACATCAGTTCATATTTTAGCCATGCCTTTAGAGTAATCCTAAGGAAATGGAATGCTGAACAACTCTTGTTTTCACCTCCTACTTTTGTCTTCCTGGCACCCCAATCCCTATTCTAATTTAGGTTTGCCATCCATGGGGAGCTGGTAGAGCCTCCTCTAGTTACCTCTACAGAAATGGCACGCCAGGTATTGTGCTACTCAGGTGCTCAGGGCAGATAAGAGGGACATGGCTCTGGCTCACAGATCCAGATTGGATAGTCTAGTGGGGATAGTCAGACATTAAACCAATAATTACAGTAAACCGTGATGAAATAATAGAATTACAAGAGCATGTTTTTGCAAGGTAAACATTACCACAGTGCTCCCAAATACACTCATAAGTGGTTCAAGTCAGTGTCCATGCTAACAATAGCTACTGTTACTGTCAGGTCATTGTACTAGGACCTTTCTGTTCTAAGATTTTTTTTTTTTAATAAACACTACCATATTCAATCTTCATCAAAAATCTGGGAAATAGGTATTACTATCCTCATTTTACAAATGAGGAAACTAAAGCTTCGGGAGATTAAATGACTTGTTCTTTCATGTCTCAGCTAAGTAAATAGTAGACCCAGGATTTAAAACCCATAACTGTGATTCCAAAATGAAACTCTTAATTGGCACCATCATCCTTTTATGTACACTTTAGCTAAGTAAAAGACTTTATAAACATAAAAAACCCAATCAATGCAGCATATTTTTAGTTGTCATTTCAGAAAGATGGGAGTTTTTTCCCTCCTTGGCTCATTAAATTCTCAGTGGCTCAAGAGCTTCAGGGCATGGAATTTTTTTCTGAATGCCCTTGGGCTGCCTTTTCATCTGGTACAAAAAGAGGTGAGGATGCCAATTAAAATCAGGGCATGTTGGAGCTGAAAAAGGGAAGTACAGCCCCTCCCAAAGCAAAGCAAGATTGGTTTTAACAAACAAAAGCACCTCATCCTTTTTAGATCCCC